TTTTTTTTTAAGCTGTATTCTTCTCTCATCTATCTCATTTTTCTTTGCTAGTACTCATCTATCTCATCCTCTCACTAGTCTATATGTAGGACGGGGGAACACCAACCGACCCGGATCTCTCCCCAGCCCATGGGGTAGAGCAAGGCTGTACCAGTCCCTCATCACGGTGACAAGGGGTGGGCAGGCATTGCCGATGGGGGAAATCGGCGGTGCTAGCGCCGAGCAATGGCCAGTCACTGCATGTTACATGCCCAGTTGGGCGATGTACATAGAAACCGAGGATCCGCAATGTGATGAAAAGGACTGAATGGACAATGCAGTGCAAGTAGAATCTCAACAAGCAATGTGCATTCGTTATACGGGAAACCTACTTAACGAGGTGATAGCACCCCCGGTAAGTAGGCCCCGGCGTCGAAGGCTCCATCTATTGGTGGGGAGCTACACCTGCTGGAAATCGGGTCCAGCGTCCCTGTACAATCATGAGTATGTGTCTGCTGGAAATCGGGTCCAGCGTCCCTGTACATTGATGTAAATGTATCTGAATGTATCAGCTGGAAGCCGGGCTCAGCACCCCCATACAGGTCCACGAAAACCCTAACATGTATGAGTAATATATATATGATGTGTGTGATTTTTGTGTTCTTGTAAGTATCCAAATCTACACACGAGACCCTAACTATGATGTGATGCGAAGTGTATGATATTTATCAATCAAAACTATGTGAGTGATATGATATGTGTGTGAGCGGGGGCATTGATTACTTCCCCGCACTAGGGTGAGATGGCAATCTAGATCCTAACCAGCCCCCCTCAGCACTCCATTGTTGATTGGTATTGCGGGCCGGCCAACAACCAATCAACATCAATTAGCAACACCAATCAACATCAATTATCCCACTCCTACCCTCAACCAGACGACGAGGTTAAGGGGGGGGAGGGAGGGGGAGATGACAAACCACTTATCAGTCCCAACCCCCTCCACGTCAGCGTGTGGCATCTCTCCCGTCGTGCTGAGGCTTTCAGCTCCTCTGCTGCCTTGGTCATCGCTGCCTCCGTTGTCATCACTATCGCCGTCATCGCTGTTGTTGTTGATGTCATCCCCAATCCCGCTCTCAACCCTGCTGCTACCGTGATTGTGAATGTTATTGTTGTTGTTGTTGTTGCTGCTGCCATGATCGTCGCTTCCACCATCGTCTTCACTGCCTCCATCATTATTGTTGTTGTAGTTGTAGTTGCTGTTTTTGTTGTCAACCCCAGCGTTGCTGCCGTTGTTGTTGTTGTCGACGTCATTGCTGTTGTTGTTGTCGTTGTTTTTGTTGTTGTTGTTGTTGTTGTTGCTGCTGCTGTTGCTGTCGCCAGTGTCGTTGCAGCATTCAGCCCCTGCGTCGCTGCCGTTGTTGTTGTTGTTGTTGTTGTTGTTGTTGTTGTTGTTGTTGTTGTTGTCGTCGTCGTTGCTGTTGTTGCTGTTGTTGTTGTTGTTGTTGTTGTTGTTGTTGTTGTTGTTGTTGTTGTTGTTGTTGTTGTCATTGTTGTTGTTGTTGTTGATGGTGTTGCTATCGCCAGTGTCGTCGCCACACTCCTCCATGTCGCCCTTGTCACCCATCTCACTCTCCAACTGATTGCGGAGATTGCGGCCCTTTATAAAGAGGGCTTTGCACACACCCATCCCATCGTCCGCCCGCCTCCAGTCGATGTAGGGTTCGAGCCGGGGATCTGGCCCCTCCTCCAGCTCCCACATGACCTCGAGCATCTCCTGATTCCTATCCTCTAACCAGTGCTCCATAAAGATCGCCCCCCCATCGATCTCCACCCCCCCCTACCTCCGCAGCATCAGCATCCCCACTATCATCCGCAACTGCTTACACCCCTCTCCCAGTGTGTCAAGCCATTCCTCCACACGATGTTGTAACTCCTCCACCGAATCCATCTAGGGCCAAATTAGCTGCACCACTCGCACAATTCACTTGACAGTCCCACGGCTGGCGCTACCCCTGTCCACATGTCACGAGACGTCCACGTCACCAATCAACAGGTACCACGTGGCAAACAACCACTTGCTTCTGTCGGGTCCGTAGGCAGGCCCAACAGCCGGGGAGCTGTTCTCCTCCGGTGCTGGTCGAGCCGGAGCGATCGGGCCCTGCCCGTCGGCCGGCTTCAGGGCGCTAGTGCTAGCGCAGCCTTTCATAATCACACTATAAGTGAAGTGGAGACACGCTGGCAATGTGCATTCTAATACATACAAAATGGTGCTGAATAGCGCGGGGAAGACTTAGATACAAATCCTGACCTGACCGGGACTGACCTCATTCACATAGTATCCAATAGCGAAGCAGAACGCTACAATGCTAATGACTAGCCCAATCAATGTTTGAACGCAGACCAAACATACATCGTGTCCATCACAAAGTGTGAAGGAGCCTAGCGTTGTACACAGGAAGGAAGTGCCAGGTCCAGACATACACAGACGAAGAGGAGGGGATCATACAAAGAGGAGGGGGAGAGATGGGAATGTCGTCAACACCAAGTCTTTATCACAAGTCCCAAATAATCCCTCGTTGCAATGTCTGAAGCCAAAAAGTCGAGTTTGGATCCAATGTCACCAAACTCTCTCTCTCTTCTCTCGTAGTCTGCTGACGCAGTGAAGTCAGATAATGAGAGGGTGAGAGGGAGATGGTGGACTGAGAAGAGGAAGAAGAAGAACTCTCTCTCTCTCTATTATGAGCCAGATACTAACCCAGCGTAGGAATGATGCCACACACGTCTTGTTCTTGATCATGAGAACCCAGCGTAGGAATGAGTCGGGCAGCATAGTCCTCAAAAGAATATAGAAGAGGAGGACTATCGACCTCCACGTGCACCTCGGAATGAAGGCCGGTCACTCGTGAAGAAACCGGTTCCGGAGGCGTCAAGAGTGTCGTCGAGTCACTCTCGGCGGTGCTATGTTTCCCTGTTTGCCCTTGCCTTTCAATGGGCAGGCGAGTGTCTCATGGAGATCGTTGTTGCACCATAGGCAATAGTGGAATCTCGTGCGCGCCTTGAATGCTTGCTCGGAGATGTCGATTGGGACCATGGGGCTGGAGCTGCTGCGCCGGGCCCGGGGCTAGATGCGGTCTGTGTTTTCGTCTTGCCGCGTCCTCGACCTCTACCGGGGCGGCCACCTTCCCGGGCGGCCGCGAGTCTGTCCCCTTCATTGGCAGACACGGCCTCGCTAGATTGGTCAAACGGCGTTGCCACCGCGACCACGGCCACTCTTGGCCGATGCTGGTCCCTGCTCGGGCCTGGTAGGCCTCGTCCGTTTCCCCGGACTTTTGATCCATGCCGGATGTTTGTAAGCACATGAGCATTGATCAGGCGGGAGGACTGCTGTCGTGGCACTCCCTGCTGCTGACGTGGCACTGTTCGGCTGCTGTGTCCTGCTGACATGGCCTGCTGACATGGTCTGCTGTCGTGGCACTCCCTGCTGCTGACATGGCACTGTTCGGCTGCTGTGTCCTGCTGACATGGCCTGCTGACATGGTCTGCTGACGTGGTCTGCTGACATGGCCTGCTGACGTGGCAACTCACTAATGTCGCCGCAGGGGGTACCCGGAGACAAATAGAGAAGATAAGACCAGAGGTGGTAACAACATAGGTGGGGAGGGGTGGGTGAGATAATAATCGCCCAGATAAGGAGCCACTAATCAAAAAAGAAAAGTTTGAACTTTGCAAAAAAAAAATCGAGAAAAATAAAAATCCCGAGTTTTGTAAGTTCAGTAGGTCTCCCAACCTCCCTTGAAGTGCGAAACTATCAATAAGAAACAAATTTCGAACTTCAGACTGCAAATGATTTATAGAACTGACTAACAAAATCCTAGAACTGCGAAAAAAAAAAATTCCGAAAAGAAATGACAAATATTCGGATTTACTCAGATGAGAGTATTCGGAGTTTGGAAAATAATACCTACAGGAGGGATTTCCCGTACCGTTTTCAGAAAAACGAATTTCGAAAAAGAAGATATTTCAAATTTCTAAGTAACGGGAAATGCAACAGGAAATCGAAATTTTCGACAGGGTATTCCGGATTTTCAACAACGAAATTTCGAATTTTCAGAAGGAAAATGAAAATGGAAATTTCAGATGTTGCGCTACAACAGAATAGCGAGAAAACAAGATCCAAGAAAAGAAAAAAAATTCGATTTTCAGCACTAAGGTCAAAATTGTGATTTTGGGGTCTAACTAGTGTACTCTAATCAATCAATAAAGACTAATCAGCTACCTAGTCCCCGCACACGTGTCAGATCAGGTTGTCCCGATTCACGTGCGGTGTTCCGATACCAACTGTTACGTGCCCAGTTGGGCTATGTACATAGAAACCGAGGATCCGCAATGTGATGAAAATGACTGAATGGACAATGCTGTGCAAGAAGAATCTCAACAAGCAATGTGCATTCTAATACATACAAAATGGTGCTGAATAGCGCAGGGAAGACTTAGATACAAATCCTGACCTGATCGGGACTGACCTCATTCACATAGTATCCGATAGTGAAGCAGAACGCTAGAATGCTAATGACTAGCCCAATCAATGTTTGAACGCAGACCAAACATACATCGTGTCCATCACAAAATGTGAAGGAGCCTGGCGCTGTACACAGGAAGGAAGTGCCAGGTCCAGACATACACAGACGAAGAGGAGGGGATCATACGAAGAGGAGTGGGAGAGATGGGAATGTCGTCAACACCAAGTCTTTGTCACAAGTCCCAAATAATCCCTCGTTGCAATGTCTGAAGCCAAAAAGTCGAGTCTGGATCCAATGTCACCAAACTCTCTCTCTCTTCTCTCGTAGTCTGCTGACGCAGTAAAGTCAGATGATGAGAGGGTGAGAGGGAGATGGTGGACTGAGAAGAGGAAGAAGAAGAACTCTCTCTCTCTCTGTTACGAGCCAGATACTAACCTGTAAAGTTGGCGCGGTGCTGCGGGTACCTCGAAGACGAAGCTGGAGCAACGGCGCTGCAGGTAGGTACCTCTGGCCTCCGCCCAATCTCTCTCTATCTAGTGCTATCCTAGCTGTGGCGCCCAACATTGAAGACTACAACTACCTACTGCGCCCAGCGCTGAAGACTAATGCTAACGCTACTACTACTACTGCAGCACTCCCTCTAGAGTGATGTTGTCGAATCCTGAAGACTACCGACTGCCCCCTGCCTGCACGTGAAGTGTCAGGGAAGTACCTAGGAGCTACCTCCCAACTACTTGCAGCCTTCAGGGCAGGCTGGTCTTATATAGTGCTGGCTCGTCTAGGAGGCTGCTCTTGCCAATGCCAAAACGTGCTAGACCCTAGGGTTGAAGCTCAAACAAAGGTTGTCTTGAAAATAAGCCAAAAATGGCCTTAGCTAAAACCTTGGTCTGGTGCCTGAGTTTCAGGGCAGGTCGAATTGACGAGGGCCTGAAAATGGCCCTCAATTTCAGGCTGAAAATACTTAGGGTCGGAAAGGCCTTGATTTAGCTTGAAACGACACAGGGCCTGTAGGCCCTCGTTTGCAGTTTTTCAGGCTGAAACGACACGGGGCCTGTAGACCCTTGTTTTTAGGCTTTTGGCCTGAAAACAACATGGGGTCTGTAGGCCCTCGTTTTCAGGCTTTCAGGCTGAAAATGACACGGGCCTGAAAATGGCCCGTGCAGCCTGTTGCAGGCGCAACATGTAACACTGCACCTCCCCCTACCCCCCCCAAACCCCACATGGCGATGTCTAATGGCCAATACTATAGCTGCATAGCAACCAACAACATCAACCAAGGTCCTGCCAATACAATGCAATCATTGTACACTGCTCAAGAGGACAAAAACGTGTGAAAATTCAGAGTACCTGCTTGCTCTGCAATTCATCTCGCACCCGAGTTTCGACACATTTGACTGCAACCGTTGTTCAATCAATTATTAAAAAGAGGTTGTTTTACGATGTACTACTGTGGTCCACCAGTCAAACTGTTACTAACTGACGTGTGCATATGTGTGCATTGAGTGTGTGATCTTTGGCAGGTGCATTTGCATGCATTGTTTGTCTGATCTTTGATAGGTGCATTTGCGTGCATGGTGTGCATCCAGACTGAAAGTTGCCCCTAATACAACTATTAGAATATTCATTTGTAAGGGGCAGAAATCTTCCCCCGGAGTGTTTTCCCCGGTCTACATCATGCAATGTGTGCGATTATATTGTCTTCAAGGAAGAAACCCGACCAGGGTAGAGGATTTTATAAGTTGAACACTTCCTTAATAAGTATAGAACGTTTCAAAGTATATCTAGAGGATGCATGGTCCTTTTGGAGAGAACAGAAGGCTGTCATTAATGATGATATACACTGGTTCAACAACGACCTCGTCGTCCTAGGCCGTAAATGCAATGAATATTCTAAAATACTTGCAGCACAACGTCATTTTGAAGAGTTTAATCTATAAAAACAACGTCTTTACCTACAATGACAAGTAGAGAAGATAGATGATGACTCCCAATTAACAACAGGTACAGAGGAAATCAAGAATTTGGAAGCCAAACTTCTAACCTACATTGAACACAGGTGACAAGGAATTAGAATCAGAGGAAAATTGTTGAAACACAACAGAGAAGGGGCGATGGAAGCGAGATTTTTTGCAAAGGCGAAGGTGAGATCAGGAAGATCCATCATTGAGGCGTTTTCAGACTCATAGGCAAGAGACGACTCACTTGTATCCTCGACAGTTGCATGCACTCAAATAGCAAGAGAACTTTACAAAAAACTTGTTACCTCTGAATGTAAAGACCTCCCATTACCTCAAAGAATGTGAGAAATTGAAAATTTTTTCCTACCACTTAATAAATCACTAACAGATCAACGAAGTAATGGGTTAGAACAACCACTCACAAAAGAGGAAATTTGGACAGCCCATATGATGATGGAGGAGGAAAAAACTCCCGGCATTGATGGCCTTCCAAAAGAACTATAAGAAGTAATGTGGGATTAGATCTCTCAAGATCTTATGGATTTTTATCATGAAGTATGAGCTTCAGGAAAAATGGGGGAGGTAGTAGGGCAAGGGGTCCTCACTTTGTTGTGCGAAAAGGGAGATAAAATGAATATTTGTAACTACAAACTTATTACGCTCCTCACAATCGTATATAAGTTTGTGACCAAAGCATTAAAATTGATTCAACGCGAGTTCCGCGTTGAAAGATTCAACGCGCGTTGAATCCGCGTTGAATCTCCGTTGAAAAGCCCGTGAGACAGGTTACAACGACAACCGTGATGATTTTTTTCACGGGCTAAAATTAAAAAAATAAAATAAAATAAAATATAG